GCCAGTTTATTCAGGGTTCCAATCGCGCTTATATGCAAGATTTCCCCGTACACGCGAGCGCTTCTTTACAATGATTGGTCAAGACCCCGCGTCTACGCATCTAACTATACAGTGTGAGTGCCCACGGTCCTCCCATTTAATGACCGTCCCCCTCTTCCTGTTTGTCTTCAATTCTTTGACTCCTTATCTGATTGCTCCTTATCTTTTATTCAACAGTCTTTTCATCCTTTTAAGCTAGGTCCGGCACCCTGGTGCCCCTCTGAGGCCCATCTGCCCTTTTGTCTAGGCCTAACACCTATCTGCCCTTTTATCTAGGTTTGGCACCTACATGGCTTGCTCACCGCATGACCACTGGCCTTCAGGAATCCCACAGTGTTTTTTAAAAACTTGGTTGGAATTAGAAGATGTGGTAAGATTTCTGGAGGAAAATTTGGCTGATTTCTCAGTCAAACAGCTTGTGAGTTGGTTTGAGCTTCTTCCTCTTTGGGAGCAGACACCCAAGGATTACTTGGTTTGATTTTGGAGGCTAAGCTCAGAAAGATTTTCCTCTTCAATGTCCTTTTCATTCGGGAGTCATCTTTTTTCCCTGTTTCTGCCATGGTCGTTTGTTCCTTTTGGCCATTTTGTGTGTGTCTTCATACTCTGTATGATTTTATCTTTCCATGGGCAGCACATCTTTACAGCCCTGTGTTAGTGTCATATGTAGTCTATCCTTCTTCTAAGTAACAATAATAATAATAATGTGTTACTAAAGAAATATTTGCTTTTGTAGCGGTTTCAGTTTTGATTTTGGTATTATTTTGAGCATCTGCATATGCACCAACTACTCTAATTCATGTATAATGCCCCCAAGGCTTTCACTGCTGCGCTCTCCTATGGACATCCACCATACTTTGTGCACTTCATCCATCTTCGGTCTACAGGGGCCCACAGACGTGCCCCGTGACGGCCGCACTAGCTTTCACACGTGCTGGGGCAGCAGGACGTGTCAAAACAGGAGCAAAGAGCCGCGCGGAGGAGGCCGCGCCGCTCCCGGCCGTGTCCCCGGGCCGCCCCCCGGCCTCGCCC